CTGTGGTTTGTTTAGTCGAGAACACGGTTGACTAGCTGCAGAAATCGAGCTGAATCGAAGCAACATCTCGTGAATTTTATGTTTTTCACAAAAAAATGCGAGATATGATAAAGATTTGAAAATTGCTGATGATTAGCGTTCAAGTATTTTTCTTTTAATTAATGGTGATTTACAAGCACCGGGTTTAACGACGACGATAAATAGCATTCAACGCCAAAATAACCAGCAAAGCAAAAAAGCTTTTAAATCATTGCTTCACGATATTAGATATTTAAAGAAGGTTTTGGAATATCCGTATCACTTTGAAACATTGCGAGAATTAAATTCAAATTTAAATATAAAAAGGAATCATTTATTCAAGGCTAAATACGTTATGAAAACTTGTATAGAACATCCAATAAGACATTTTCTGAAAACAACGACACTATATAATTTACACTGCTGTATTCAGTCATTTTCAAATTATACTAAAATTGGTTTTCCAAAAATCTCGACAGCAAAAGGCGTGGGTTAAAGAAGATTCCATAAACGCTCAAGTGTGAGAAAATATTCCAGACCTCTTGTGCATGCAGATGCAAAATCATGAAACATTAAGTGTCTCGTTTTAAGTGATTAAACCAGGAAATTTTGAAAATTTCAATTTCAGGTACTTGGTCTGACAAGGCATCCAAGGAAGCCAAGAAGTACATGCACCAAGTGAACCTGGTTGCGCCTAAACCACAAACATTCACCTCGATTCCCGATAGAGTTAATTGGAAGCTCACAGATGGCGCTGACTATCTGTACTACTGCGCGAATGAAACTGTTCACGGTAAGAGATGAATGTAATATCTCATTGAAATGGGGAATTTTTCTGTTTTATGTTCAATTTAATTTTTTAAACCGACAACAATGGTAGTTTTTTTTTTGAGTAATGCTAAATTTTTCGGAAGTAGAAGTCTATAATAGGATGGTTAAATTTGCCTTCAGCACTGCTTTAATCGGCGAGTATTCTTCGTTTGGAATTTGTTTTAATTTCAATCGTAAAAATTATTACTGGCAGGAATTTTTTTAATAATTTTTTTTTATTTTTATGTTGAAAGAAAGACAAAAATGCTTGAGGCAATTCCGTGTTCTGTTGGAAATAAATTCTCGCAGTACTTGATAATCCAGGACAATTATTATTTTTTCGTCCATTCTTTGACAAAAAGGTGTCGAGTTCCATGAAACACCGTTGTGTCCGGACGACGTCACTCTGGTCTCCGACATGTCTTCAAACTTCTTGTCACGGCAAATCGACGTGTCGAAGGTTGCCTGAAATTAACCACGCACCGAATATTCAACTAATCAAGGCTGAACAATCATTCTAGCGTGAATTAATTTTGATTTTCTTTTTTTTTTTTTGGGCTTAGTACGGATTGATTTTTGCGGGGGCTCAAAAGAATGTCGGACCTGCCGGGGTTGTTGTGGCAATTATCCGAGAAGATTTGCTCAAGAACGAGTTGAAGAATCCGCAAACCATTTTTTTTTTTGGGCTTAGTACGGATTGATTTTTGCGGGGGCTCAAAAGAATGTCGGACCTGCCGGGGTTGTTGTGGCAAAATAGGCTCTTCTAAACGAGTTCTTGCTCAACTTCTTAGGCGTTTGGGGCGAGCACAACCTAATACGACTAGTCCGGTTCTTATTAAGGCAACGGTTATGAGGGACGTGAAAACCCACTTATAAAAATCAACTATTATACGTATCACTCCTTTCGGAAATAACATTCCAAATACTGGATTAGATCGAATTAACCAAATAGAATGCAGCGAATTAATAAAATAACGTTCCGACTTGGAAGCTTGAAAATCACGTGACGAAAAGGAAAACTTATCGGTCTCGTGAAAAAGAAGTAATATAGCGCATTTCATTTGACCAAAGGTTTTCTGAATTGTGCTCATGTTCAGAAGGCCTGAAGCAAAAAATCAGGGAAAGGTGAATCCTTTTGTATCCCAAAATCTCAAATGCTAATCATATGCAAGGAATTCCTGGGAAAAGAGCCACCCATCAGGAGGGATTTTTTTTTCATTTTTGAGACAATTTTTTTCTGCAGGATTATAAAAATATATTTTACTGTTTGTCTAATTATAGGCCTTGGTGCAAAAATCTCTTGTCAGTGCTCATGGGCACAAAATGTTGCAAAATATCCCAACTTTGCCACACAACAGTTAAAATTATTGAAATAAAAATAGTCAAAGATGTGTTCCACATGCAAATTTGTATTTCAACTTTTGAAAAAATTGAAGTTGAATGCCCAAAAAGGATTCTTTAAAAATTACTAGATGAATTGCTGTAAAAAATATGCTATAAGCAAATTGATCAACAACAAAAAAGATCTGGAAACTAAAAAAATTTTTAAAGTTACTGTTTAATCTGTGGGAATTTTTCAGAGGGTTCATTCTTGTATCTTGATGAATCCTTCTCCTGATCATAACTTTTTTATTATAATCTGTTGAAATTGTGGCTTTCACTTATTTTCCTGGACAGCGTGAAAAGTCTCTCTGTTTTGCTTAAAATCCCTGAAAAAACTATTGTAATGAACTTTTGTAAAATGTGCTAAAAGCGCGTTGATTTTGAAATAATCTGGAAAGTTGGGATTTTTTCATGCTCCGGTTTAATTTCTTGAGATTTATTCAGAGAGTTCATTTTCTGTGCGCCAGTTCTAAAATAAAATAAAATAAATCCCTGGTGATAATTATTTTTAATAACCCGTTGACATTTTTCCTTCCACTTATTTCCCTGGAAAAACCCTTCACTTTCCCGGA